GGGGCTCTCACTGTTGTGGCCTCTCCCATTGCAGAGCACAGGCTCTGGACGCGCAGGCTCAGCAGCCATGGCTCACGGGCCCAGCCGCTCCGCGGCATGTGGGATCTTCCTGGACCAGGGCACGAACCCGCATCCCCTGCATCGGCAGGCAGACTCTCAACCACTGTGCCACCAGGGAAGCCCTCTTTATTGTGTTTTGACTCAACGTCTACGATGTCTGTTTTTTCCCTCACAAAGTCATCCTCCGTACCACCAAAAGCACTGGAGATAAAGCATTTCTCCAAATTACCTGACAATTGTCTCCAGGCATTTCATTTAAGGCACTGACACCCATTCTGCAAACTAAACTCATAATTTTGTTTTTCTCAATCACATAACCTGTGACTGGAAGATGAGCAGCTTCTGTTCAAAGACAGCAAGAAATGTCTGACAAATCGATTCTTGACACCCAAACAATAGTCTTTGCAACAGATGAATCAGTCAGGCTCACTGTTATTACTTTGAAATTTTTCCCATCTATTCCAAGGGATGTGACCATTTCTCCTGCCTTCAGTAGATCATGTAACAAACAAGCAATCCTTTGCACATAGTTCACTAACAAAACATAACAAGTCTTCAGACACTTGTGGGCATCTTTAGGTCTTGTAAATCATTTGACTGTTTTGCAAGAAAATACAGAAATACAGTCATTCATCCAACAGTGAACACTACCTCGCTAACATCAAACTTTCACCCTGCTGTATTTTGTTACTTTCTTCGTACACAACTTTTTTCTCGTTATTTTGTTGAAGACATTTTAAATGACAAACCAATGTAATGTTAACAATACATGTAACTCAACTGAAACTCACACACTGGCAAGTATATCACAACTACCACCTGGCTGGCAGCAACTGTAAAACACCATTGATCACTGTACCTATCACAGTTTCAGACATTAAAATGTAAAACAGAAAATGTACACCTTAGAATCAAAAAATCCTTCAGTTAATAATGGTCGTGCAGTGACCCAAGGCAGGAGATATTTTTTTAAATGAGTGACAGACTCAATTCTTAAGGACTTTGATGAGTAATAATAGGAAGGACAAGGATAGTCAAATAACTATAATACAAGGCAAGATTTGATTTAGACAAACTGCTATGGAATTCAGAGACGCTGCTACAGAAATTCACAGAGGAAGTCAAAATTACTTCCTGCATAGTGGGAAGAATAAGAGAAGAGATCGGAGGAAGGGCTACGAAAAAGCGTCATCTGAGAGCAAACTTAAGACATGAGTGATGGAGCAAAGTCTCAGAGGAGGTGGATGAATTCATCTTAAGAAAGAATATGTCTTTAGAAATGTATTAAGAAATATATCTTTCTCTTACAATTAACAGGAAAGAAGTGGTCAGAAATTACAAGAAACCTTGAAATGGAAAGGAAGATCTGGAGACAGGTCAGATTAGCTGCCTTGGTGAACTGGGAGACAAGGTGTTCATTCAAAGTGAGGAAACAGACACAGGCAACTGGGTAGGAAATGCAATAAGGAGTAAATTAGGTGGTGAGCACCCAGCTGAGGCTGAATTAAATGAATTTTCAATGGAACTAATTAGCCCAGGCTCACAACTTTCTAAAGTTCAGAACGGAAGTAGGAAAAAAAAAAAAATTGTGGTATTTACTCTAAGAATTAGAATGAAGGAATAGAGGACTATGAAAGCATTTCTGAAATATCCAGTCCTAGAAACCCAAGTTTTAAAGTATTACTGAAGAAAATTCAATTGATTTGGTCTTTATAAAACCAGAATAATAATCATATATTTATCAAAGACCCTCACATCTATTACCTCATTTCATCTTCCCAACAGATCTGAGACAAAAGATATTTATACATGCTCTTCATAGCTATGGAAACGGACTTCAAAAGATTGACTCCCAAATCACCCAGCAGATCCTGACCCGAAGCCACTCAAACGTAAGCCTGTACTTTCCTGCTGCACCACGGCTGCTCCCCCTGCACACTTCCTCCTCCACAGTCCACTCGGGAATCGGCTGCCCAGTGGTCCGCCCTGGTATCAAAGCAAATACCACTGTACTCCCATTCTCCCTTTAGCCTGAGTTTCTAGGTTTTATATAAGGAACAGACTCAACATTTTAAATGTAAAAAACCTTAGACTGACAAAATGACAGGGCAAATTAAAAGGAGGGTATAAAAGCGTACTTAATTAAATTAAAATTTTAAAGTTTAACATATTTAATATTTACAATGTGTGCAACACTTCTTTATACTTGAGATATGAGTACCAGACACTGACCGATTTCTCAAGGCAAGCCACGCAAATCCTCAGATTCGGTCTCTAAAGCTAAGCTTCCAAAGTGTGCAAACAAAGTCAGTGATTTTTGTCCTTGTCAAAACTACAATTAGAAACAACCCAAACGTCCATCACCTAATAAATGAATAAATAAAATGCATATCTATACAATGGAATATAATTTAGAAAGAAAAAGGAATATAGTACTGAAACATGATACAAAATGGATAAACCTTGCAGACAGTATACTAAGTAAAAGAAGCCAGTTACAAAAGACCACATATTGTATGATCCTGTTTATATGAGATGTCCAAAACGGGCAAATCAATAGAGACAGAGTAGATCAGTAGTTGCCAGGAGCTAGCAGAGTTGGGAGGAACTGTGGAGTGACTGCTCATGGGGATGAGGTTTCTTTTCGGGGTGATGAAAATGCTCTAAAATTGTGGTGATGGTGGCACAACTTTGGCAACACAGTAAAACCCATTGAATTGTCACTTAAATGAGTGAATTGTATGGTATGTAAATTATATCTCAATAAAGCTGTTAAAAATTCGCAATTAGCAGGTAGTTCCACTGGTCATGGGTGTATTGGGTGTGTGTGTGTGTGTGTGTGTGTGTGTGTGTGTGTGTGTGTGTGTGTGTGTGT